AATAAATAGTTTTTGTCTTGATAATTTGAGGAGAAAATGTGCTTAATTTAAATAAATAAATAGATAAATAAATAAATAGTTTTTGTCTTGATAATTGGAGGAGAAAATGTGCAATAAATAAATAAATAAATAGATAAATAAATAAATAGTTTTTGTCTTGATAATTGGAGGAGAAAATGTGCTTAATTTAAATAAATAAATAAATAGTTTTTGTCTTGATAATTTGAGGAGAAAATGTGCTTAATTTAAATAAATAAATAAATAGTTTTAGTCTTGATAATTGGAGGAGAAAATGTGCTTAACGAAAATAAATAAATATATAAACAGCTTAAACGTCTAATGGATCTTACCTCAGATGAACAGTCTTCAGCTGTCGTTGAGACTTCACTCTCAGGCTGAAAAAAGAAAACATAATGAGGTCGCACGTGCAATTAATTTCTACATTGTTCCACTTTCTGAGCCTTCGGTGTTAGTGGGTCACTCATCAAGACGACAAGCTTTTTAAAAAATAGCATCCTGAAATGAGCGCTAAGGATGGCTGTATCTGAGCCTCTATGACAGAGAAAGAGAGCGGTCTGTCTCCACATCAGTACAGACACACTTCAGCTATAAAAGCATGATGCATGGCCGCTGTTCTCATCTCCTTCACGAGATCACGGCTAATTACACTGATGCATGAACGTCTGACCTACATCCAGATCAGTGCAGAGACGCAGCCACGGGAAACCCAACAGCAATTCGATTCAGTGTTTCCCCTAGGTTTACGGCTTTGGGGGGGGAGGGGTCCTTTTTTTTTTTTTGGACTCCTTTTTTAATGGTTAAATTAAATTTTATTAATCAAAAAGCATGTCTAATTAATTAAAATCATGAAACAAACAATTTAACATCAATTTATTAAAAATGTAACAAAAATTACATGTTTAGGGCCCTATGGAATGTTTTATTTTTCCCAATCTTATGTTTTATTGTTACCAAATTCTGTTTTAACATGTCTAATTATTTGAAAGCATAAAACAAGTTT